TTCTTCGACCATTTCTGGTGACTCCCACCCTATTGGGAGACGAAATTCGATCGAAGGACAGACCGCCAGAGCCTCTCGGAGATTGAGGAGGTCCTGGGTTGTGGTCAGAGACGGCTCGTAGGGGCTGAACTGCAACTCAGAATTAGAGGAAGACATGATTTCGGGGGAGAATCCAGGTACGAAACAATTTCTGCTGAGAGGTGAAAGAGTAGCAGAGTTTCGAAGATGAAGGAAAGGATGAGAATGAGATCGAATAGAAAATTAGGGTTAAAACCAGTTTATTTCCGAGAAGAGGAAGCAGTCATTAGTGGTAGAGTCCACGGTAAAAGACCTCATCGACGTCAATGACGTCATAAGTACGAGTAGTTTCTTTCGATGTTGTTCTGATCTTTCACCTTCCTGTGTCCTTAGCCGTCGGATCAGGATCGTGCAGTCCAGATGTGTTGTGAGAATCGCGCTTCAGCGACGCGCTCTAATAATGAGTAACCGCCCATCAAGTATTAACTTAAATACTTAATGGGCTGGGGACAACTGTTGGGGTTGGATTCGTCACCGAATCCGTCCCACCTAAAAGCCCAGGTCAAAACTTATGCTCGCGATATGTTGACCAGAATCAATGGACTTGCGGCCAACTTTTTACACACACACGAGAGCTAAATACTACATTTTCAGCTTGTACTACGTCTCACTCGAGATCCTATTGTATCTTCGATTCGTATCAATATAAATCCAGCTCCACTCTACTCTTGTTTTACTCGTTGAGCTTATAGATATTTCTTAGAAAAAAAGTTTATTCTCCGAATCACATACAAATACTCAGTACGGAATTAGTATTTTAGTTACAATTTTTTTCTTTGTTATACAACAAATTAATCCAAATTTAAAAGGGTTTTAAGTATTAAAATTAAATATTTTTAAAATATATTTATAGAAGGTTTTTCGTACATGGAAGAAATGGAAGTTTTGTTAAAATAGAAAATGATCGTATTCAAAAGTCTAATAACAGTGTTCTTTACAACAAAACCAGTCCAAACCCAATTAGAGTTGCCGTAATTAATTATTTCCCTAGTGTTAATATTTAACCATAACCAGTGGTATAAAAGCGAGGGTAGGTCGTCCTTTTTTATGCCTAGCCAAAAACCTGTT